GAATTTTTTGGAATTTTTATCAGTAATTACGAAATCATAATCTTCTGGAACGTTCTCAACAGTTCCAGAGGGTATTCATTGAAAAAAAATCTGCATCCTGGCATCAGGACGCATTGTCGCCAACGTTTTAAACTGGCATTCATTGAGCTCTCATCTGCTTTAACAACTGCTGTCAACTTGGTTAGCCACTGCTCATAGAATTTCTGCAATAGCTTATGAAAAGGCAAATGCAACTGAGGTCTATAATCCCAAAAATTTAATTAACTCAGACTGTATTTTATGGCATAAAGTTCTGTGTTTGTTGAATGTAGTGTTCAGAATTTTGTCTTGTCCTAACAATGCCTATTAGCATTTGGTGACATACTGCTAGCAGGCACAGGAGGCAATGCATTGGGACCTGTGATGGACCTTGGGCTGGATGATCCGACAGAAGAAGGCTGATATTTATTCTTTGACTGGTTCATGGTTTGGGTTTAGGGGCCAAATTTCAGTGTTGGCCACTGATGCATATTGCCAGCATTTTTTGTCTTGGCCTGGTGTATTGCAGTGACCTTCATGGCTTGGTTGAACCTGTGAGGAGAGACTTATTCTGCCATACATCTGTTTTCACCTTCACACCACTTTGAGGTGAAAGATAGGGTTTTGTATAGGGTTCATCCTCAAAGAGAATGAACAAAAAAAGTATTACATGAATGACCTTCTCCCATCTTGCAATTATTGATCTCACTTCCTTAGAGCTGATATTGAGATCAAACAAAAAGAATGGATTCCAGTTCATGAATAAAAAATACATTAAATTTCGATATGAACAACCTGTTGCTTTAGCACTTTTGCTAAAGCCTGTCCTTAACATGTGCAGTTGCTTTGGTGCTGCTAGTGATTTAGGCTAGTTATCAACTTCCAGTTTATCAAAATATCCAGGCTTCCCAGTTAAAAGTTTTATTTTAAATGAACCTTGGCAGAAAAAAAGAGCTCCAGGCAAGTCACCCCAACATACCATACCTCCTATATGCCTTGACCTCGAAACTGGTCATCCAGTCAATTGTGGGCAAGTTTAGTACAGTAATTGCATTACTTGTAATTGCAGAACTGGAGTACAGAATGAAGTCTTATTGTATGATCTTGCTATCCACTGTAATAGACTGCAATGAGGTCATCAATGCTTATGAGATTAATTAGTTATAGAATTTTATTTTGACATTAGTCATCTTGTAATGAACCCATTAGTCCTAGTTAGAATAAATCTGGTTAGAAAAGTCATGAATCAGCTCTCTCTACCTTCTTGGAGCAGTAAGACAATGTTCTAAGCAAATGTAGGTATATATTCACTATTTCAGCATTGGTAGAAGGGTTATAAAAATTATTTCATGATATGATCCATGAGAGTTCTCATACTATCCTCATGTTAACAGGAGATTTATCAAAATCTTTGCATATCTTATTTGAGGCTATGTGATCTGTATTCTGATTTGATACACTAAAGGTAGGCAAAATTGTATCAATAGCCCAACATAAATACAGGGTGGTCCAAAAAATATTGACCCCCAAGGCTACACTACTGGATGGAATCAAATTTTATTTCTGGTGAATCAGTGTGTAGGGCATAACTTCATGTCAAAATAGGTTAATTTAGTTTCAGCTATAAATCTTGTGAAATTACAGGAAATTTTCAAATTGGCCCCATCTTGATCAATGCACATTGCAACTCACCTTCTGAACTGAATTGATTAAGGAGTTTCCAAGCTTCATTGACACACTTGAGGTGGTTTTCATCCTGAAAGGACTCATTCAGGGTCCACACTAGCTTTTTTAAATCTTCAGTCCTGGTACCTAGCTTCAGCTCAGTGGGAACATGTTCAGGTGGTTGTCAATGAATCCCACAGACTTAGATGTTTTGCAAATATGAGTCCCTCCAAAAAAATGAGTCAGGGACTCACTATAGCAAGTTAATGTGAACCCTGTCATTATACACATGTTGACAAATTCTCATATATAATAATCCACCAGATTGAGGTCAGGTGAATTTGGGGGCCATGTCAGGTTGCACATAAGAAAGCATTTGCCCATGTATACCTGTGTTACCTTTGCTGTGTGGCCACATCTTAAAGAAGCACATAGTTGTTCCCACCAAGCTCATCAATGTTGGGTACAAGGGAATCTTGAAGACCTGTTTAATTGTACATCATTGAATAAACCTTTGTGTTTGGTGGTATGGCAATCAACTGGGGCTTTCCAAGTTTTGAGAGAGCAATAGCAACCATTTCTTTCTTGCTGAAGAGGTTTTGAGTTGCCTTGAGTCACTTGGAAGGAATTTTGGAGTTCTTTACATTTGCACAGACATGGTCATTTTGTGTTGATGGGTGGTTCCACTGTAAATGCTTTTTCCTTTTCAAAGAACATATCTGACCTTGGCCACGATAATTTTGCACAATAATTGCCTGCACCCAGTCAATCTCTTCTCATAAACTTGAGGTGTAAACCTTTCAGTGGGAATCCTCTTGAATGTTTTTAAATTCAGATCAAGCTTCTTGATTCCATTCACAGAAGACCTGCTAATGTTAAGATGGGCAGTTTTAATCATGCTTTTGCTTGTCCCAGGTTGATCTTGACTTCTAACAAATTGCTCAAGTTCCTTGATGTTCTACTGGATCCTTACTGTATTGGGTCTACCACCACCAACTTTTCATTTTGTGGACCCAGGACTGTCAACTTTTTTCTTTTTCTTTTAGGTAGAAGTTGATTGTACCTTAAAGACCAGTTCTGGTCTGGAAAATGACTGCAGTCTTTGCACCATAGCCATTTTTTTGCCTCTGCACTTTGATTACAGCTTTTTCTTCATTTGTTATGGCATCATTGACTAAGTTGAATTATTTTTCTCACATCTAAAAAAAAAAAAAAGAGCAATCAAATTTAATTTCAACATCAGCCTAAAGTCATTAATAATTATGGCAAAACATTATCAAAAGCATATGCTTGTATGTACACCTTAGCCTAAGTTGAGAAATATTTTGGGGGTTTACAAGATTTGGACCATCTTGTATATTTAATAATCAAGACCTTAGTAGGGTTGGATATAAGTACTGTGTGCTGAACCTTCTCTCATCTTTCCACACCACACAGGATTCTATGAAATTATTGTTACCTTCAGCCAGGAAGCTCTTCAGTACATGGAAAAATCCACTTGAAATCCTTATCTGAAGTGTATACTTGCATTCCTTTTCTTGAGTGTAGTGGTATGATTTAAACAGATAAGAATGTCATGCTACAATTGGTATACCTGTGAATGTGCTCTGCCCTTGGCTTTCTCTATATGTAGTTGGGACTCTTTAGTTGTCTCATCATCAGCATTGCTCAGACTCACATTTTGCATTTAAACATAATTAAGATGGGTTCAGATATACATGTATATGATTTAAACTACAAGTTTTAAAACTAATTTTTAATCCTGATTGAATACATTTCTAAATGCCCTTCTGGTTTTTTTCCTGTTTCAGATGAAGGGCTTAGTTCTAGGAGCATACTCTGAGAATGAGGGTGCTGCCCTTGAGTTGACACCAAGTGCCAAAGACTTTGATGCCAAAAGTGAAGGGAAGCTCCTACAAATGCTGCAGATGTAAGTTCATTTCCCTTCATGTTGCATGCCATGGCATGAGAGCCTGCCCATAAAATCTTAGGGGCATCAAAGATTCCACTGTCACAGATTGGAATTGTATTCACAAGGGAGTAATGTAAAGTTCACCTTTAAGTCATACTGGTGATGGGGCTTGTCCCTGGTCCTATGATTTGATGAATCTACTACTTCACCTACTGTATGGTGCTTACTGTAATGCCTTCATTTCTGCTTATTTACAGGTTGGGTTCCTTGTGAATACAAAAACAATAGGACAATTCCAATCTGGACAGTGACACTGACAATGGCAAACTCCAAAGAAGGGGGCAAGGAAGTCTCAGTGACACAGGAAATGGAATTGGAATCTCCTGTCACAAGTGGAGTGATGGAACCTGATACACTTTGTCCTGTCTGCTTTGAGCTACTTGAGGAACCTCACATCACTCAGTGTGGACATAGCTTCTGCTTGAAATGCATTACCAAGAGCTTGGAAATGAGCAATCGCTGTCCCAAGTGCAGCTTTGTTCTGAATGCCACTGATCCCATCATACCAAATTTTGCTCTCAATGACATCATTGCCAAGCATCGCTTGAAGAATTGTATGAAGGCATTTGAAAGTGGAATGTCTCAAGGCACAGACCCTGAAATCTTGAAGAAGCTAATTACAAAGGAAAGTGAGAATTTGGCATTGCAAGATGTCAACTGGATGCTGAGCCTCTTTGAGCATCGGAAGCGGGTCCTAGAACTAGAGTCTCGTATCACTGAATACCAATGCCTTGATGAGTTTCTTACACTTCTCCTTCAGCAGAAGCATGAGGTGATGTCCTCCTTGCAGAGGGAGATCCAGCTGATAGAAGCAGATCGGAAGAAAGTGCAACAGCGTCTTGAAAAAGCTCAACTCAAGGAGCAGCAATCTGTCAGATTTGAACAATTATCTTCGCCTTCATCTTGTTCCTTGGTTCCATCCTCTCCTAATGAAGAAACCTTTAGCTCTTCTTCATCATCAGTGACCACTCAGACTTTGGCTACACGCCGCAAGAGGCTGTACACTCATTACAATGACTTGGTGGATTGCTATTTCACAGTGAGAGCCAAAAATCTCAAAGTATCATCTCCTCGGCATATATGTGATGATGAAGAGGCATTGGCCGAATTCTCAGAGAGTCTCTTGAGACTGACCAGATTCTCAGGGCTCAAGCCATTGGCTACTCTGAATTATTCCAGTGACATGTTTGGAGGGTCCAGCATTGTCTCAAGCATTGAGTTTGACAAGGATGCTGAATTCTTTGCTATTGCAGGAGTCCGAAAAAGGATTAAAGTCTTTGAATACCTGACAGTTGTTAGAGATGTTGTTGACATCCACTATCCTTGCAATGAGATGGAATGCAGCTCCAAAATCAGCTGTATCTCTTGGAGCTCCTATTATAAGGGCCTCCTTGCAAGCAGTGATTATGAGGGAAATGTTGTTGTGTGGGATGCCTTCACTGGTCAGAAGCTGAATATATTTCAAGAGCATGAGAAACGATGCTGGAGCGTGGACTTCAATCATGTGGACACAAAGCTGATTGCTTCTGGATCTGATGACTCACGAGTAAAGCTGTGGGCTACAAACCTGGAGCACTCAGTATCAACCATTGAGGCCAAGGCCAATGTATGCTCCGTCAAGTTCAACCCAGACAGCCGCTATCATGTAGCATTTGGATCTGCTGACCACTGTGTTCATTATTATGATCTGAGGAACTTGAAAATGCCATTAAACTTATTTCGGGGTCACAAAAAAGCAGTTTCATATGTGAAATTCCTTAACGCTGAGGAGTTGGTGTCTGCATCCACAGATAGTCAGCTTAGACTTTGGTCCGTTGGTCGTGCCCAATCAGTCCGCTCCTTTGTTGGGCATCTCAATGAAAAGAATTTTGTTGGTCTTTCCTCAGATGGGAGTTACATTGCATGTGGTTCTGAGAACAATTCCCTCTACGTTTACTATAAAGGCTTATCGCAAAACCTCTTGTCCTATAAGTTTGATACAGTGAAGTCAATCCTGGAGAAGGACAGAAAGGAAGATGATTCAAGTGAATTTGTGTCTGCAGTCTGTTGGAAGTCTGGTTCAAACATTGTCCTTGGTGCCAATAGCCAAGGCATGATCAAGATTTTGGAACTTGGCTAAGTCAATGGATGGGAATCGTGGATTTCATCAGTGAAACAGATTTATCATCATTTTGCCTGAATTTTTGTAGAAGTTTATTATATTGAGGTGCAGAAATGAAATCTTACATGGAAGAACCTCTCCATTTTCATTCTCATCATTGAGTTTTAATTTTCAATCTGTACTACAGTTTTCACTATATTTGATCATGGAAACTCTTTCTAAATTTAAGAGTCTCCTTGCAGCCTTGGTTTATTAGGTGAATGTGATGGTATGGTGTGGGTTCAATATATATATCCATACCTTTGAGTTCATCTCTGTATTATGACTGACTGCCAAGTTATGAGGAAAAGCATTTTTCTTTGTAAACATGGAAACTTTGCTGCAGACCTTCCTTTTCAGTTAGGTTGATGAGGAACCTTAAAATGATGGAGAATGGGGAAAAAGGCGACTGCATTTATTAAAGAGATAAGCTTGGTGCTTCTTGTCATACTGAAGTTCACAGTACCATTTATATTTACTTGCCATGAATATCATGGAAGAAGTGGGATTGCCAGTGTTTTCCATTTCTTGTTGTGATCAAGGTTGATGGATGCTTCCTTTGTCTCTAATTGCAATCAAGAAGGGGAGAAAAAAGGGATATTGATGAGTCCTGATAGTCTAACTTATACAGGGTGGCCAAAAAATTAACTTGCCTCTTGCAAGACCTTTTGTGGAACTTCACTAGGTGTGTATCCTATTATCGTCAAATGCTATCATTTTATAAAAACCATGTCCATAATAAACATTTAATTGATACTTAAATGACAGTTTATGCATTTTATCTTCTAGACTTTTGCTCCCAGATGGTTAGTGCAAATGTTCTAATTGCTTTTCATCAGTATCAAGGCTCATTGGGCATTGATCAACAATTGAATGACTAACTTTGGTGCATAACTCTTATATGTGCATGACACTGTTCTATGATTAACAATTAGATATCATCAATTGTAGGTTATGTGCATAAACATTTCCTTGCACAAAACTCCTGAAGAAGAAATCCATGACTGTTTGGAGACTTAGTGGCACCGTGATGCCACTGCTATTCAAGTATTAGGTTAAGAGAGATCAAGAACTCAACTATATTATGCCCATCACATTAAGTACTTTTTGGCCACTCTGTATATATGCATACAGAGTATTTACTCCAAAGGCATGAATAACAATATTCCCAAATGACTGCAATGTGATATTGGCTTACTGATGTAGTCTTTCAGTTTAGCCTTTGAAACAGAAATGTTTCAAATGTGTTTACAGACCTAATCTCTTTTGCCAGTCCTTGGAAAGTTTTAGGTTGCTAGCAAGACTTGATTTGTTTCTTATTGGTATGTGTGGTTTCTTATTATATGACAAAAGTAAAATATTAGGGAATAAGTGAGGTGTGGTTATCTGATACCTATTGCAGCTCATGTAGCAAATTCAAGAAGGGGAAAGTACGAGTCCTGTGGAATTTGGACAGTGCCTTCCCAGCCATAGCAGTTGTTGGCCTTGGTTCCAAGACTCAAGCATATTGCGATCATGAAGAGAGAGATGAAAAGAAGGAGGCCATTCGTGCTGCTGTTGCAGGTGTGTACATCTGCATTCATTGACACATTAGCACCACGTTGCTGTTATTCTTTTTGCAAAATGAGTCCTTTTTTCACAATCAGCTGGAATCAGATCTCTGCGAGACATTGGGGCGAAGGAGATCTTAGTGGATAGTTGTGGTGATGCAGATGCTGCTGCTGAAGGTGCATGGCTGTCTGCTTTCTTGTTTGATGAACTCAAGTCAGATAAAAAAGATCCTGTTCAGATCAAGCTTCATGGAACTGAGGGGTAACTGCCTTCCCTCTATGCTTTCCTATAAATTAATTGTAGTGCATGCAGTGTGTCATAATTTCTTCTTTTTTTTTATTATAAAGGGCTGACTTTTGGAATAGAGGAGAGGTGAAGGCTAAGGCTCAGAATGTAGCTCGAAGACTTACAGAATTACCTGCCAACATTCTCACTCCCACCAAATTTGCAGAGGTTTGTTCCTTTATTGGGTTCTCCTACTATGCATGAAGAAACCATGCCAACATATGTTCATGAAAATCTTGTTGCAATTTTCATAGGAGGCAGAGAGTATTTTGAAACCACTTGGAGTGGAGGTTGAGGCACATGACAAGGCCTGGGCTGAAAGCATGAAAATGGGGTCCTTTCTGTCTGTTGCCAAAGGATCTGAGCAACCTCCAGTCTTCCTTGAACTCACTTATAATGGAGGCAAGGCTGGGGACAAGCCTATTGCTCTTGTTGGTCAGTGTTCTCATGTTTCTGTAGCCATAACAGGAGTCAATCCCATATTTATTCAATGGTGTAATAATGGAATGCTCTTCAGGAAAGGGAATCACATTCGATAGTGGAGGCATTTCACTTAAGGTACCTTCATCCATGATGGATGAAATGAGGGCTGACATGGGGGGGGCAGCATGTGTTGTGGGTATCATCAATGCTGTTGCATCTCTCAAGATACCAGTCAACATCAAAGGTTCTTGCCCCTTTAGTCCTTGAAAATCTCAAGGGTGGATTATTTGTTAGGCCTAATAAATATATGTTGCATATATAGGCTTGGTTCCTTTGTGTGAGAATATGCCAAGTGGGTCAGCCAACAAAGTGATGGATGTTGTCTATGCCATGAATGGGAAGAGCATTCAAATCGCCAATACAGATGCAGAAGGACGACTTATCCTTGCAGATGCCCTTTGCTATGCAGATAAGTTTAGCCCCAAGGTGGTAGTGGACATGGCCACACTTACAGGTAAAGTATCCATGCTGGTTGAGATATTTTCCAAAGATGAGGATAGGATGAGATATATACATTGAATGTTTCTATTAGGTGCCATGATGGTTGCATTGGGATCTAGTGCAACAGGAGTATTCACCAACTCAACTCCAATGTGGGAAGTGTTGCACAAAGCAGGAGGAATCACAGGAGATCGAGTCTGGAGAATGCCTCTGTGGGAACATTTTAAGAAACCCGTAACTGGTGAGAGAGACCAATGTCCTTTCATGCATACTGATCCAGTGACTGGATTGGTATCCACAGAAGTGCTATTGAATAGAGTTGGGACTGATATGTTGAATAGCCAAGACTTGGTTACGGTCCAAATACTCTGAGATGTGTAGCAAACTGAATGAAAATCTAAACTCTGGAATTGCTAGTAAACTTGAACTGATGTTATTCAACTGGTGAAAGTAAATAGAAGGCAAGCCCTATATCAAACAAACCAGAACTGCATTCAAACTTTTAAAATAAAAAAGTGAGCATACTGTTACTTGGATTGTACATTCTTGTAGAAGATCTGCTGAACACTATATGTTGATGCACAAGGTGGGACAAGATTATGAGTGCTGGATATAAGATCATAAGACATGTTTCACTGTCCTGACTCATTTCCTTTGCTCATTTTATAGCACCATGCTTCATGGAATTTTTATTGTGACTTGGTTATGTAAACTCAGCCAAATCTTTGAGACATGTGTTAACATGTGGAAACCCTCTTTGGGATTCTTGATATCTATACTACTTATATTTCAGAGTGTTTGTGTCTCTATCCTTTATGCACAGCCATGCCTCTGATCCCAGTCAGACCTAACTTTGCATGGCTTCCTCATTTGGCCTAGGGATGGTCATAGGCTAGGTGGCGTTTCAAAATTTGGATGCCCCAGGGTACCTTATATAGTACATATTTGGCTGATTCACTACTACAGACCCCCCCAAAGGAGTCAAAATTTTGGGAGGTCACTGAGGTGCAAAGTTGTATAGGGACCCCATGTTACTAAATAAAATTTCCATTGCACCTCACAGCACAGTGAGTTTGTTTGCCCGGAGGGCAAAAAAACTAGTTAATTGCTTATATTTCTTGTATCCCTTGATATAGATGGCCTGAGCTAAATTGCTTTTAGGATATTTGATCGAGTTGATTTAGGAAACTTCCATAGACATGTTGTATGGCAGCAGCATTCAGAGATCTGCTTTGCTCATTGTGCTCACCATGCTCCTTTGCTTGCTTTCTGTTCATCAGACAACTATTCATTTCAAGGTTTGTGGCTAATCTTCAAAGCAGGAAAACTTTAATCCTCTTTGAGTGATGCAGCCTTAGATAGTAAGCAGAACTCAGGGTACCTTGGCGCCAGCTTGCAGACATCCCCATTGACCTTTAAGTTCTGTTAGTGGTCTCTTCTTTCCCTCTACCTGATCAAGTGGGTACTTGAGATAGATAGGTTGCTATCAGAGATGTTGCCACAAACACTCAATGGACAACTAAAAAAAAAATGAGGTGTATGAAAATGTCTGGGCATGCTGATAAATGAATTACCTACACTCAAAAAAATTCTGCCCTCTTAATGTATTGATGGTCCCTGTATTAGAAAAAAGGCAATACCATTTGTTTTATCTTAGTTTTCTTTTTATATAAATTTTTTTGGTCAAGTTTGTGTGGAGTTGTGTCTACTGCAAGAGTTCTTTTTTAAAGTTTCAAATAAAATTTATTGAAGTGGACCTTTGCATTAATTATAAATGTAATATTATCTCACTTTTAAAGTTTTAAGCAGAGCAAGACAAGAACATAAATCTTAACCACTATGTGCAAAAACATTTTCATCCATTGGGAAGGTGGGGTGAGAAAAAGTTACCTGATATGAGATTTGAGAAAAAATTTTCAGGGCTGGTCTAGTGGTTACATTTTCTCAAATATGATTTCTAGTTATGAGTTTATTTATTCTATAGGTGATTTTCCCCCCTTTTTTTGTCCCACTATCTCCACTTCATCTTTCACTTTGAAGAATAATGCTTTTTCCTGTTGTTCCTCAAGCATCCCAAGCTCCTGTTATTCTGTTTGGCCATTGGGGTAATTTCTCAGAAGAATCTATGAATTTCTGAAAAAATTTGACAAGAAATTGGCCAATAAACTTTTGTAGAATGTAATTTGTGCCTGTAGATACCATTGACAAGTAACTCCCATCAATTATAATTATTTCTCATTCAAACTCATTTCTTTCTCCCTATCTTAATTGAAAGTGATTTTGCTCTGTTGTAGACAATCAGCTGGCAGATTTATGCAATATTGGAAAAGATGGAAGGATGGGTGGTTCCTGCACAGCTGCTGCATTCCTCAAGGTATAACTCATGCTTAACTATGATGGAAGAGACTGGCTTTTCACTTTAGTAAATGCACTAACTCCTGTTTCTGCAGGAATTCACAACTTCACCCAACTGGATGCATTTGGACATAGCTGGGGTGATGAGTTGCCAAGAAGAGATCCCATACATGAGCAAGGGATTCACTGGTCGACCTGTCCGCACCCTGGTTGAGTTCTGTCAGATGCTTGCTCACAAGTAGTCCTCATTTGTGCCTACTCTAGGTATACAATTCCTCCTTACTTTCATAACCATCTTGTTGATTAGGCACAGAAGGGGTTCATCCTATGGCCCTCTTTTTAAAATGTGTAGAATTTATGAATGCTGGCTTCATCATTACCCTTTTCCTGTGAGTCACCAAGTATCCACTATTTCTCTTATGATCTGGGAACCAAACCAGCTGCATGGGGATTATATTTTTCTATGCAAATGTATTAGGTGTGTATTATGCTGTTGCCATTGCTGTAATTGAATGTATTCCTGCTGAAAATTCCAGAATGAAGTTCATGTGAGAAGATTTTATTGCTTTTCTTGGGGGCTGCTGACATGAATCTGGTCTAGTTTCTGGCAAAGTCCTGTGGCAAATTTTAGTATCTCTTGTATACTGATTGCAATTGGTAAAAAAGAATTCTGAAATAGAACATCCCCATTTCAGAAGCATATGTGTCATGCTTACACTGCATTTTCTGTTGCCTTATGATTGATCCATCAGTGAAAACAAAACACATATTTTGCTTGAATGTTGGCTTGGAAAACTACTACCATGATTTTTTTTTTTTTTTGGGGGGGGGGGGGAGGAGAGAACTAAAGACAACTGCACTGTCCAGCTCTATTAAGGGTATGTTTGTTATCACAAGAAACATGGCACTTATTATTTTCATGTATTTTCAGTTCTGCTCGAAGATACTCATCAGCATTTCCAGGAAATACACATTTTTGGGGAGCTACATTGTGTATGAAATTGACCCAATTTCTGGAAGACCGAAAAAGTGCCATCACCTGAAATCCCTGTGTCCCAGAAATGTGTTACTGCATTCGAAAACTAACTGCTCTTTGAAAATTCAATACAGATCAATGCTGTTTTGCATATCAAAAAGGAATGATGGAAGTAATTTTGTCCTATGTGCAAGACTCAGACTGTCGATTCTTTATCATTTGCAGAAATGTCAACTTATTGGCCAATAAGGATAAGTAACTTCTCAGCATTTTAGTTCTCTTTTTTTATGGCTTAAGAGGGATGCCGATGAAGTTTTGACCCCAAAAAGTGTATTTACGAAATCTTGTTATTTGAAGAGGACATCAAATAAGAACCTTTTGGTATCATACGAATAAATTCTAACACATTCTACATTTTCAATACTGTCCTTCTCGACCTGACGAGGTTGCGGTTGAAGCATACCAAAGAGCGACATCCAATGATCCTGATCATGAGCAACGAAGAAAGGCTCAGCAGAAGGAATGCTAAGCCTCGAGTGACGAAGCCAAGGAACATAGTCGCTTCACCCTGTACGAGGTCTACCGACCGGTTGTCATGGACCAAGAGACTCTTTGGGACTCTCAGGGAATGCAGTAGATATATTGAAACCACCGGTCTTGAGACCCTTCGATCCGACGTGTTGGCTCGACCTGGAGATTCTCATGGATCTGCCTTTGCCATCTGCATCCTATCACGGCGCCTGCCACCGACCTCGTATCCGAGACCTGGTTCCTTTGATCATAACTCAAAGTTATGGGTCCTTTATGTCGTAATTTCTAACATACCCTTGCTGTCTCCAAGATCTGATGGCGAGTATTGAGCTGATCCGTTCTCTTCTCCAATTGGATGGAAAATGTATTGCTGTCTGACGCCCTCTCTGCCTGCACTTTCGCATGGACCTTACCAGTTATGTTGGGGAGAATGATTCTACGATCACTCTCGAGTTCCTGAGCGAGGGTAACCACCACACCGCTATGCCAGTCCGTTGGTGCTGTCACCAAATCATTCCCATGCGGTTTGGCATATCCACGAGAACTCATCAGTGCCATCTGCTTTCAGAGCCCATGCCTCGTTTTCATCCACACCAGGAAACTTCCCATTCTTCAGATTAGTGATAACTTGCAGAACTTCCTGAATGGTGGGACTACGCTTCGTGCTAGGCGGCTCCGAGTAGGGCACAGGACTAGGAGTGACTCAAAATGTTCTTCCACTTCTCAAGAATTCCCACCTCTGCACGCAACTGATCCCGTTGTGGCCTCTGATGCCGCAGAGTGTGCAGCCTGCCTTATCGGAGCCTTCGGATGGCTTGCCAAGACACCGTCGTGGCAGTGCGGAAGTCCAATTCCATTTTCTCGCCGAACATCATCTAAGCGTTCTCTTTCGCTTCAGCTACAGCTGGAGCAGCAACTTAACGTGCATCTCTGTTGCAAGCCCTGTAAAGGTATTATATACTGAATACTTACGCCATGTAGGTTGCCTTCTTGGCAGAAACAGCCTACAGGGAGTTGGTCTTACCAGGGACTGCCCCAATATACTTTACGCTGCACTATTGCAGTAGCTGAAACGCCAGACTGGAATAGATCCCATTCTATCAGCAGTCTGATGAGTGATTGGGAATACTTTTCACCGATGTTAGCCAACTCGCCAGGAGGTTCCTAATCGCTCTGTGCTTCCCACCTCACTAGTTTTGCAACGCCTCTGTCTTTCCACCCCGTTCTGAGGTTTGCCTGTTTCTGGAGCTTGCTAGCCACTAGATAATGGTCGGTACTCCGTTCAGCCTAATGGTGAAATGTAATCCCTCTGAGAGTTAACGTGGTATGAGCAGCTTTAAACTGAGTTGAAAATTTGCAGCCAAAGCGTTTTTTAAGTCATCCCAGTGTTGACCCTTTAACTGAATTTCTTACTGCATGAACACAAAACAGAACCAGACACGAGACATATCATCATCTCAGGACAAGATTCTAAATGAAAATGTGTCTAACCTGAGAAACGGAGAGCCAAACTTTGGAGGACTCTGCAGGTTGTAGGTGATGTGATGAAGTTATTAATTATTGTAGACCTGATATTTCGATGAAAGACATGAATGCTTAAATAAATTTCAGTTTCTGCGTATTCTATCAGGTAAGGGAAATAGAACCTTGTAGCTCCGTATTGTACCCCCATGTAGGTACTTCTTGGAAGACCTACGATAAAGGGTTCAATTGGACTCCAACACCATCTCCCAATATTCTACAACTAAGGGTGGATTTTTGAACAGAGAACTATCCGATAATGCTGCTTTTTTCCAGGAAATATGTATTTTTCCTGGAATAAAGCTGCATTATTGGATAGTTCCCTTCAAAAATCCACCCTAAAATTAGCATGAAATTCAATCTCTTTGCAAATGTTTGATGAACAGATTAACAGATTATCCATCCATAGATATGCTTTATTTCAAGATTCAATCTGATTCGTAGGATATCATATGACACAAGTCTACATTCAATTCAGCAAGTCATTGTAGTAGCTCTTGCCAACTTGAAGCATCCATTTCAGCATTCTTTCGAGATGCTGTTTCTTCCCAATGCTAACTTCCCCCACAAAATGCTGCATGGATTTTGGCTAGCTGTTCAGGTCAAGGAGACAAGCACCTTGCCTTGTGCTTGGCGAATTGCAGATGCCAATCTTGTGAAAGACATCATCATGAGGTAACTTTTTAATACTCAACTGTAAATGGAGACAGTTAAGTACTGGTATGCAGCTGGCATACTTGACAAAATGGAATCACCTTGGAATTTAGATTTTTTGCAGCAGACTGATAGTTTTTGAAGTCAGCTTGACTCATGGCAATTAAGATGAGCTAAATATGTTTATGCAATTCTTCCTGTTCACTACAGGAATGCAGGAAAATGAGACAGGAGACCAGAACTAAGATTCTCAGCACCGTCTTGATGCATGAATGTATGCTGTCCACTTCTTTAATACATGAAAGATCAGGGGTTTAAATTTTCATGGTTATATTTTCAAGATTAGGAAATTGGCTGAAGTCATACATGAGGAATTCCTATTATGAGGAACACAACTGTCACTGCATGTGGTTAGGTGCTTCACATCAAGAAATTCCCTTAAAACTTCTTGAAGAATTTGAATGATGGCACCTGCAATGTCATTTCCACTTCCTCCCATGATTGCCTTGGTCCATATGGCACCATGTCTTTTCTTGTCTACTGAAACATGAGCAGTCATGTTGTACAAGTTTAGCTTCCTCTTATAGAAGAAAGAGCTAAACTTTGCATGGAGACATAGAATGGAGTTCTGTAAATCAAAACCCAGTAAAAAAAATGCCAGCATGGAACCAGCCTGGAATCCAGACTGGAAGTAACTGGTCTAGACTGGACATAGGTGGTTTTAAGCTGGATATACTGGAATTTGCAGGTGCACTTTCTCTACATTTTCTCTAGTAACAAAATATGAGCACGATGATATATTCCTCAAGGTTATAATGAGAAATTATAGTTTGTAAAGAAAAAATAGGTTTTATCAATGTTTACAGAAAAAAGTTTTGAAATTTAAATTATCTCAAGTGATTCCACTGTGAATTCAGCCTTGATCTTGTATGCAAGTGAAACTTCATGCAAAATTAATCTATACTTGATGACAGAAGCATCTCTGTTGATGAAAATTATTGTGTAAAGGCCCTTTAAAAAGTTGAAGCAAAACCATTAGAAAATTTGGATATCTTAGAGGCACACAGCTCAGGGCATAGCATTCTTGTCTCCAGAATGGTCCATCCTGGATCCTGGTGCATGTGAAGTGCAGCGAGAAGCAGTTAATCCAGAATTACTAATTCAATCCCATATCATGGGTGGGTGATATACTGCAACATAGCTGTAAACCATGGAAGTTGGAGATTTCTTGAATTTCCTATTATTTTAAAGTTCAGATAACATAGCATACTTGAGTTTAGCTGGAACCAGAATATTCTCCCTAGGATCTCAAGTGAAGGTGAAATTTAGTGAAAAATAGTTTGTTCCTGTTGAGTCAAAGAAGTTGCTAAGTTATGCTATGGATTTGCTATGCTTGTGAAGTTCTGAGTATCTCCTGGCCCAAAGCATTTCATGTTTAGATCATGCTGGAATCAGTTAGGACCAGCATGGTTCCCTCATCCAATTCATGTTCAACAGCAGTAGTTGCCACTGGTGGGAATGTCTTCAGAGTTTTTGGAAGCATCGCAGCATCGACATCAGCCATCAATGCATAAGCAAAATACAGCAAACTACAACTGCATAGGGGGGGGGGAGATAACAACAATGCTATATAGTTCACATATGGTGGGTAATGGGTAGACGAATGAAAAATGGAAATAACTTCTTTGGGAGGATTTTTCTAGGCTCGTGTGGAACATTCCTTGCTGGAATTTGGAATTTTTTGTCTGTTAACAGACAACAAATTCCTCACATCTTTTCCAGTCCATCTCCCAAACTTTCTGCATGGCTTCCTTCTCATGAAAGTGATTTTCATACTTGTGTTTGTGTTCACAAGAAATAGGCATTTCTGTCTCAGCACCAGGAACACTTCACAGAGATCACGTCTATCAGCTTTGAACTTCAGAAAGATTGAATTCTGTATTGAAGATGTGCTCCTGCATTGATAGCTCCACTGTGACAGTACCTGCTCTCTGACATCCCTCACAGTACAAATCATACTTTATTTACTAGTTCAGTTGTGGTTCTAAAACTTCCTTCCCAGTTCTAGGTCAACAGTAGCAATTCAACACAGGAAAATGATTTGATGTGGTCCCTCACTCCATGCTTCTGCTCAACTGAAACTCTGGAGACTGGAATAGTGTCCTCATGCAACTTTTTTGTGAGTATCTGCCACAGGATTCTTGTGTGCTATATATATTGGCTTTTGGCTAACAGTATTTTTCACTTGACTTTGACACTCACGCATGAGGAATGTCCAATTCATGTGTGTCTGAGTCATGTGAAAAATAGTCTAAATCAAGTGAAAAACACTGTATTAAAACTTGTATCTCCAGATCTTGAACAATTAAGAACTTGAAGGTTGAAGGTCTTCCTAGATATCTCAAGTCATTTTTCTCTTTTTTCACAACAATCTGTTGTCCTGAGAAGATAGTGGTACTTTTCATAACAGAAAAGTTGATAAAAACTCAACAGAAGGGTCACTCTTTAACCTGAGGTAAGCTTTCCAGCACATTTGAATTTACAGAATTTCTCACAGTCCTTGAGATTCTTCACTTTTTTTTATTACTGAAACCAGCATTTTCCCTCTTCTTACATACTGCTCACTAGCCTGATGCTAAACCTTCTTGACATTTTCTTCCATTCTTGCAGCCTCTGCTTTCATTTCCAAATTCTTTCTTCAATTGGCTCAGTACCAGACTCTTCCACAGTCTCACTGTAGGGGATGAACTCTATCACTGGAAAGCGACTGTCCTAACTTAAAAAAACTCATTGGTGACTAGTGTATGACAAACAGAATTAAACAAAGTGATATTATCCTTTAGGACAGGGGTGTCACATTCAAATCGGTCAGTGGGCCGCATTCCTTACCCCGCAGATGCCTGTGGGCCACACCCATGATTTTTTGCCTCAATTTCTGCTGACAGTCAATCCAAGCAGAAATTTCAAGAACAGTGGACCGGATGAACCACCTCCACGGGCCATATGTTTGACACCCCTGCCTTAGGACATATACATATGTACTAAAGGATGTTGGCTTCCTGGAATACCTGAGAGCACATCAGAGAATGCCTCAGAACTTTCCATGTATGCTTAACCCTTTCACTTGAACATTCAACTAGTCAAACTGTGCTTCATACCCTTTGATTGCAATGTTCGACTAGTCTTCATTTAGGGTTTTTTTTTCCCACTTGCTATGACATTCGACTTCAGTCCCTTGATTTGTAGCACACCAAATTTTGTTTGCTCTGACACTCAATACTGGGTTAACTCAACTACAATAAAATTAAATATGCAGCATAAGGGTTAAAGGCATCAATTTGGGTCCTCTGATGAGCTCTCAGGTGATTCTGCTGGAAAAATCTTTTACAGTATATCATCTGTGAAGGGTGTCTTCATCTGAAATCCATGTTCTTTGAGTACCTTTAGTAAAATTATACATCACCATCAATTGAAACACAAATGTAAAAAAGCAGCCTCTACCTGTGCCACCTCTTGTGCGATCATGATTTAGATGTAAGCAAAGTCACAATGAATAGTAATAACCGTAGCAAGAGATACGATTGACTGGTGACAAAAGGGAGGCTGCTTAATCTGGGTTTAAAACCAATCAGAAGTCTCAAGAGGCTTTTGCAGTTGCCTCCTGTATTATGCTTCCTACTCCCTACTATTACCACTCCACAGAGAATTCTTTTTTTCTTTCTCATTGATCACTAGACTTTGCAGAGATAGTTTCATCGGAATCAGTGTGTAGCATTAAACAAAATGAAAAACACAATATAATACATCTAATAAACCATTCATTTTATAATACCTGTACTTTCATCATGGAACAAACAGGATCAAGCACACAAATATGAATTTGGCAATGATGGATGACACATGTAGTAGATTTTGGACAATGAAAATGAATAGCTGGGGTGAAATAAATGTTGATGATAATGGAATCTTTAAAACTGTTTTCCTGCAAGACCAATCCTTCAATTTTACTAAGAGTGGGATTGACGGTCTCCACTTAGTCATATCACAGAGAAGAGGCAATGGGGGATCTGGATTTTAGCTGTCACCATCAAAACCCTTACTGATTATCCACAATTAGAAAGTAGCAGGCAAAAAGATTTTTACAAAATCAAGAGAGAAATAGATGAAACTTCCTTTCACTAGGGTCACAGTCCTGGTAACACACAGTTCTCCAAGTATCATCACAATGAGAGAAAAACAGACCTGATAGTCATCACTTGAGAAAGACTTGGTACTTAGATGCTAAACTGTCATGAATCTGGACCCTTAACCATAGCCCAATCAGTTGTCCTTATTACACTTAGACATACACACACAATGAGTAGGCTAATACCTGACTCTTTGTACAAAATGACAGTCCAATCCCTGCCTTGCAACACTCAGAACATCACCTGGACCTAAAGGAGCAAGTACAGCATGCAGATATGTTTTCAACTTCCTTCTGGCCATTGTGTCCTTGAGGCAATCTTGTGTTAGCTAGCAGCAATGCACACTATACAGTACTCACTAAAAAGAAGCCAAACGGAAGGATGTGGAAGATAAGGGGAAACTGGATTAGGAACCAGCAGCCCCATTAGACACAGCAGGCCCATTTGATTTCTTCGTTTGTTCAAATAGCCGTTGAATGTCAGTCAGGGACTTCCGAACTGCATCCGCAAACCGGTTTGAGTCCTGAAGATAAAGAATACACAACATGACAGCATTTCATAATGACCCTCTTCATCAGCTTCTTACATCACGGCAAGTCCACTTTCACCAATGATCTCATTCTTTTATTTTTACACCAAATTTCCATGATTGCATGAATACTAGAAATACTCTGTGATCATCACTTCCAATTTCATTAATCTGAGCAGCATGATAGCTTTGCTGATTCTTTCATTAGTTAAGAGAAGAGGACATAAAATCCTTAAAGAGGCAAAGCAAAAATCTATTGGACACACTGTCATCTGCTGGATAGCAATGGTGTCACACAATCATTTTTTCAATTGAAAAAATGCATAGATCCATCTTTGATATGACTGTATCGGCCAATCCCAACCAATTCACTTTCAGTTTTGGCAACAAAAATGTGCTCCACCCAGTCTACATTTTCTCAAGGCCCAGGCCAGTGCTACTGGGACATTACCATTTGAAATTCATATCTTCTGGACTATTACAGGTCTTACTGCTCAGGGTCAGCAATGTTGAATAAAGTCTCATGAGGGCTTTTACATAGTTTCTTTGGCTCAAAGTGTTCCTAGTCAAATGACAGTGATATACTGTTGACATACACCAAGCTCTCTTATTTGTAAATATTGGAATGAAAGAATAGGCATTGAATTAATTGATGAAGACAAAAACACCAACCGTCTCAGGGGAGCTGACTTTGCAGGAGATGTGGAAGAAGATGATATCCTCTCCTGCAATGATGTAGGACACACCATAGCCGTCATCAGCCACAGGCCCAAAACCTCCTCCTGCTGAGATGCATTTTGGATATTTCTTCAAGTCCAGTTTATCTGTCTGACCATGAGGAGTCTGGCTGGTTGACAAGCGCCATGGCTCACTCAGCACCTCCTGAAATGCATCCAGATGTCATCCCCAAATCCCCCAGGTGGCAAGAAATAACCTAATTTGAGGAAGCAGGATACCTTAAGGAATGGAGAGTCAACTTCCAGCCATCGACTGACAACATAAAGACAGAAGAGATGTCGGTCAATCCCTTTCCCACACATGGCATCCTGATAGAGCAACTGATGCTTCTTGCATGCATCTCTGAGAAGGGATACACGTTCCTCATCCTACAGCAAGCCAAATGCACCAGATTCATATGAAAAAGCCATAGTTATCTAAGAGTTGTTTTATTTTCACAGGCATGAATATTGCACTTTGAACCTGCTAGCACACTGACCCTAAAAACAAGAGACTTGAAAGTTCAATGTAATGACTCACAGAAATGGCAGGATTCTCCATAGCTCGAACAAATCTCGTGGATTCAACAGTACAAGGTCGCACTGTCTCAGTCCGCCCTTCACGAAACAGGCGGGTCATGGATGCCTCATATGTCAGATTGAATTTCCCTGCAACCTGGAACAAGAGAGAAATGGCTTTGAATCTACACCTTATCAGAAGCATGGGAAAGGGAGGTGTATGAGGCTTACACGGAAGTAGGCCAACTGGAGTGTCATCTGTATGTATGCATCAGGTGACAACCTACATTTCTTCATGAAACCTTTGCCATATTCATTGTGCACATACAGTCGTAGGTCAACATCATTCAACAATTGCTGTGCACCCTAATAACAGAAACAAACTATTGTTGACAAGATAATGAATTTGTGTAGAAAATACAGATGAGGTGAATGATGAAGCACAGACCAAATAGCTGCGTTCAATAGCCTCAATGCACTCATGTGGGATCTGCCACTTGAGTTTGATAGGTATTGGAGGCTTGAACTCTGGTGTACCAGTGCAATGACCCGTTTCATCATATCTATGAGGATGAAACCCAAATGAGTTATTCTGTCTCCTAAAATTGTCTTTCATATCCACCTTGCAGTTTGTCCAGAACACAAATTCAAGTAAATCAGTCTGGCGTGTAACACTTAATAAGGAGACAATTTTGTTCCATGACCATTCTAGATGAAAAAGACTATATCAGTACTTTCATGATTAACATTTGTTTTACCCAGTTCTTACCCACCCTGCTGATTCAAATCAGCAGGGTGGGTAAGAAACCACATGTATAATTGTGTCAAAAGATCTTAAGTCAAGAATTTCATCCATGCTGGCTCCAAAACTTAGTCTTCAGATTAACTTTTTCATTGCTATGGGTATAAACTTCCACCACTTCAAGGAGGTTCCATTCTTAGTTCATAGTGCAATGTTAATAAATCTAGTTAATCAGACATTCATCTGACAATTCATAACCTTGACTACTAAGATGCGTATGCAAAATTCAAATCAATACATTCTTTCATAAAACTGACAAAAGCCTGAAATGTATAGGGAGTTCCACCAGTCAAAAATTCAACAACTAAAAGATTAAAATACATTAGGTAAAATTGATCAAAGTCAAAACGAAGTCTGGATATAGCAAGTCCAGACATTAGTACATTAGCAAACAAAAGTTTACCATCAGCAATTTGAGTCCCTGTTCCATACGGCGAATGAAACAAAGTGCATGTTTATTGATGCTTGTTTTGCTTGCCGACACTTTTTTTTGGCCAAGTCTGTACGAATTACCTATTTCAAGAGTCTAGCTCAAGTCCAGATACCAAATTGGTTTTCAATAGTCCAATTCCACAGTTGCTGAATCTAAGTTCAAGATCTTCAGTTCAGTCACTACTTCATTTAAAAAAAGCAAAAAATTTCAAGATTTCATTTTTATTAGGACTGGCTTTGAACTTTCTGAACAGGTATTCAAATGCAAACACTTCAATTCAAGAGGTGAATGTCTGTTAAATGACATGGCATCTAACTCTTTCATAACACCCCTCTAAGATGCTTTTTTTTTCAGAGACTGGCACAACGTTCTTAAAAGATACTGGATAAAACTGAATTATATTTGCAGTAGGAGAATGCAAACTCCCAGCAATATCTGTAAAGGACCACTGACCAGTAGTAATCACATCTGAAAGCAGTTGTTAGAAATGATTAAAATTGAAAATTGCTTCATTGCTTTTTCATTTTGCCTATAGGTTGAGATTTGGAAAAACATTTTTGCTCAAGGTCAGTACTTTCTGAATTAAATAATTAAAATGCATTTTTAAAATGTTGGGTTTCTTTTACCCACCCTGCTATCTAAGCTTATTCTGACAATCCAAAACAAAATTCAAGCTTGAAGCTCAAAATACTGTATATCAGAATAAATTATAAAAAGCAAAATCAAGTCTGAACTTCAAATTCAAGTTTTTCATGCAAGAAAGAGATAAATATGGGAGGAAAGCATCACAAAAAAGTGTGAGATTCAAAAGTCTGTGAAATAAAATAGCCAACAGAAAAAAGTGAAAAAAAAGTTCAGAAGATCTTCCACTGATTAGCACTTGGAGAGTCCACAGTGACATGGTTTTCATTTTGACTTCTGCCACTGCAGAAACCCTCACATGTGCCTGGATGCAAAGGACAGGCTCTCATTCTATTTTACATTTCAGTCAATCTAATCCTTGCAATCAGATTCTCATCCTATTTGCACACAGAATTTGACAGTACTGGTACCTGAAGGGAACTTTGAGCAGCAATTAGCACTATTGAAGGACACAGTCTATACTGAGATAAGAAATGGTACTCCCTGAATTCTGTGAAATACCTTTAAAAAACCCAAAAGTAAAATACATAAGCAATCAGTGAAAAACCTCTGAAATGAATTTAAAAAATAGTGCTGGCATAATCAATCACACAGGCTATAACAGAGTCAAGAATACAAACTGGAAGGAAAGGGTGATGTGAACAGCTGAGGGAAAGAAGAGAAAGAAGAACATTACCCTCGTTCAATATCAGAGGCCAATATAAACTCCCAGAGATGGCTCATGATAGGTGCATCAGCCCTGGTGAAGACATGGAAAGAGAAACAGAGTAAAAGAAGGGTGCAACAGAAAATCAGGTATTCCAGACTTAAAAAAAAAAATATTCATCCCTAAACCCATTGACCAACAACCCAGAGTGCCTTCCCAGTGTATAGGTGCAAGTGAGATGAGTGAAGGAATGAGAGCAGAAGAAAATGTATCATGGGATTGTGTTTTTTTACCCATTGTCAATGATGTCATAACATAGAATGTATTCCCAGAGATGAGACATGATGGCTGCATCTGCCCTGGTTGAATGAAAAAACCAAGCTCATAGAAGATTCAATCCTAAAAAATGAAGATATTGCCCTCAGAGATTTCTGAATTTGCATTTCGAATTTTTCAGTGTTTCAATAGGGTATAAAACAAACTCTTCAAAATAAATGTAAACAACTAGTCACACCTGCATATCATTAGAGAATTCACTTACCAGGAATGTTCAGCATTGAATCCAATCTGTGAAAAGTGAATATATGGTTAACTCAAGAAAGAAATTTCTGTGCACTAGATTTGGTTTGCAGGATAGAGGTGTGAACTCACTCTGCCATTGCGCCCAACAACTAAGTTGAAAGATTTATCAAACCAGCGGTCATATCCCTTTCCGTGGAGCATAAGCCGTCCAAACTTATCTAACTTGGAGTGATCAGTCTGAAGGAAACAAACAAAATAAATGAAAAATGCTCTTGCAACAATGCATCAAGGAAGTTCAAACTCACAGGATCATAATCAAAATCCTGGTCATCAAGCACAAGTACAAAAGCAGCCTGTTCAACAGCATTGAGTGCAATGCGGTTGTTGCCCCTCGCAAAGTATTGCTGCCTTGCAATTGCCCATGGAGTCCTTTCACCAGCAGTCATGGCTGCCAGCTTCTCCTCACCCTTGTCTGGATGCTCATCACTGCTCAGGATGTGCTGCATCTGGCTATAAAGTCCATAAAGGCAAATCTTAGTTTTATGTCAAACTTCAACTAAGAGACCTTTAAACTTTACAGCTCACATTTCCAGTTCACATGGGTACAGCAGTCGGCCTCGATGATAGACTGGGACCTTGAAATATCGCCCCTTGTGATAGACCACAATGTGGTCACTGTCATCGCGATGCTTGATGACATCCACTTCAATCCCAGGTATCCGAGTAGTGTTGAATACACGCTCATACTGCCATGAGCACAGTGGCACCAGGAATTGCACTTTGATCTGAAGAGCATAGCATAGCAGACTCACTAAATTTTTACAACAAAGTTGAAACAGAAGGAAGGAAAGAAACGTACAGGTTGTAGCTCTTGTCTATAGATGAGTCGACGGAAGAGAAGAGCTGCATATGCAACGTTGGCAGCACGTGCTGCCTGAATGTGAGTAGGCTGGAAGAGGATTGCATCAATTCCATAGAAATTGGAGTTCACCATAATAGGAGATCGACCTCGAAGGTACACATACTCTTCCCACCAATCCGAAACATAGTTTGAGCACCACCTTTGGTAATCATATTAAATTTAGAGAATGCCAAATTGTATATTCACACAGCATAAAAAAGGTTATAATCACTTTCTTACCAAGACTTAAGCCAGAGGTATCTTTGCAATTTTTTTCCTATGGTGTCCTGAAATTCTTTGGCCATTTTCTTGGTTCTCTCAAACTGCTCATCTGTTTGCAGGGGCCTCACACTCAACAGGTACTGTACAATGAAACGAACAAAATGCCTGCCAGGATCTACCATGAAATCTTAACTTTACAAGCCTAAAGTGGGCCCAGCATACCTTCTCTGTAGTTTCCTTGAGCGATGGAAGAGAGAGATGAGGCAAAGAGTATTGGTAGCAGTATAAAAGGGCAGGGCCCTTGGTCATCATACAAAGTGTTAGCATCCATGCCCTTGTCACAAGTGATGGCTTAGCACCAGGTCCTCGTTCTTCATATAACCACCCTACATCAATAGCACATCATGATGAATCAGTAATCTATTGTGTGGAACAAAGAGACCTTCATGGCTGCAACCTCAATGCAAGCCTTCATCAGCTACTTACCTTTGTACAAGAGAAGTGCCTTGAGCGTGTAGCGATAGAACACAACCGTTGAAATCCACATTGCAGAACCAGCAACAACACAACCAAAAAGCTCCCCATCTGTGGGTTTCCCTCGGCCCATGATCAGGTATGATGTGCTGGAATAACATCAAAATTTAGCACACCTGCATAATTCTTGTATGCTGGAGCACATGAAGTTGGTAAACCAAGCAAGGCAGACACAAAAGGGTATACTCACTCAGGAAAGAACCTAGAGATCAGAAAGGGTAAACCAAAGAACTGAAACCCAGCCATATAGAGAGCTGAAGCAATTCCAACTGATGCAAGCCATGTTGAAAGAGTTCCAGGGTAGACTCCAGCACGTACACTATTCTACAGTGCCCAAAAGTACAAGATCTAGATGAGATCAATGATTCTTTTGCAATTAAATCTAAAAAATATTGCTTGCAAAGGAGGTCTAACCGTGAAACGAGCTAGCCGTTTCTTCCATGATCGCACACCAGCCCTCCAGATGACCTTCAGGGCCTCCCAGTCAAAATCCACATCCAACCCTTCATGGGTAATACTAAAGGAGAAACCCACAGCCTGATGGGCCTCTGCCATTGTGAAGACACACTAGGAACACCTAGGATCTCAAAGGGAACTCAATATCATGACTTGTTGGTCCCTGAGTTCATTCACTTCCTGTTAAAGATGAGGAAGACAGGGTCACATATGATCAAGAAAGAAAAATCATATCCATTCACAGTCTGCATTTGCATGAACCACAAGGTATCATTGCAATGGTCCTTCATGATGTCCAACATCCTCAGCCACACAGCTGGAAGGAGAGAGTGGAATATTGACCTCTGAAAGAAAGCTTGAAATGAGCTCTGAGCTATGGACTTGAAAAAATGCAGAAATGTAATATACATTTCTTAGAAAATTGATGAAGATTAGTTTTACATTTAACACAAAGAGACATAACCCTATTCTACCACTATCTATAGAAGTGTACAATGGCCTTGACCTGAAAATCAGTTGATAATTTCAGGTCAACAAAAATGAACTACAACAAATGAATTGGGCTATCAGTGGTAACAGCAAAAAAAAATGGCTTTCAAAGGAATCAACAATCAATGGAACATTTCATTATGGGACTTTTGACACAATCAAAAGACACTATTTCCACAATTAAACCTCATCATTCACAGCTGTCTGTGGAAGAATCAGAGCTACTAGCCCTCTTCCTTGACTTTTTCTTCTTGGCTTTCTTCTCCTTTCTTTTCTTCTTTTTATCCCTTGTCGTCTTCCTTTGAGCATCATCACTGCTTTCACTTGTGCTACTTCTTCGCCTCTTTTTCTTTTGCTTATCCAGCTTTTCTTTCTTCACAACATCTTTGGGTATTTCTTCAATATCTGGCTTTTTCAAACTGGTAGCATCGGGCTTCCCCTGTCATATTGAAAAGGATGAATTGGAATGATCAGATATTCAGAGCTCTCTATTTTAGATAGTGACTATGCTTAAAGTTCTCACCTGTTCTATTAGGTCAATATTAGGTCCACAGCCCTCCTCTCTCACTTTCTTAGTCAGTTCATCCAATTCTTCACCCTTCTTTTCCTTGGGGGGTTTATAGTCCTTTACATGATCCACTCTGATGATTCGCCGACACAATGTCATGCCATTGAAATTGTCAACAGCCAAAACTGTGGAACGTTGATCTTCATAACAAAGAAATGCATATCCCTTGCTTTTCCCTGTTTTCTTGTCCCTGACCATATTGATGTTCACAATCTCACCATATTGAGAGAATACGCAAATAATATCTCCTTCTGTCAAGTCGTAAGGCAAGCCACCAATAAAAATCCAAGCCGATTCCTTATAATCTGAGTGCCAAGATGAATTGGTTCCGCTCAGACCCATTTGCAGTTCCCTTTCATTCAATTTTTGAAGGTTCTTCGTATTCGTGATGGGATTCATCTTTCCGAGAACTCGCTCTCGCCCTCCAGGTAGGCCTAAGCTGTGGCAGTCTTGCGCCTGAATGAAGAAAATAAGAGAATCACGACTCTGGTAGTAGCAATCTGGGATTAATTTCGGCTATTCCAAACTTTATCAACAACGTATGATATAACCTAACGTAAGGCTTAACCTAAGATCTAAGGTAAATCACAGCTTACACTGAATCAGGAAGGTAGGCGGGGGAAGCGAAGAATATACGTGCTTAGGTCGTTAACCCTACCTAATCCTTATTATACCTATTCCTTATTACAGGCCTGGTTACGTCACGTGTACACTCGGAGTGGCCATGTTAGAAACCCAACTGCGCCATAACCGTCGTCTGAAACGTGAGATTCCTTTGCTGTTTGTTCCAAGTCACTGCATCGTCGTATTTTTCAATTCGCCTCGAATTTCCCTTTGGCACGAGTCATCCTTTATCGGTCATCACCAAATTGCATATTCACCCCCCCCCCCCAATTATTTTGCACAGTCGCACTCAAGGACATCCACAAGCAGATGGAGGTGTGTGCGGGGCTGGGGCGTTGAAGTATAAACATTTGGAATACGTGCCTATAGAACGGGCAATGACTGGCAATACGCACCGAAGGCGTGAATATGCCCTCTTTGACATTCTGGCTGCTAAGATGGGGGACTAAATTAGTGCAAGCTCACGAAACATCTAGGCCACAGGGTACGGGCTTCCACCATGATATCCGACCTGAACTAGACGGCGAGAAGACTTGAGAAGCACAATACTGAAGAGAACACGGGAGAAAGGCAGGAAGGACTCGAAAAGAAGGATGGGAAACAGTTAACCGGATCTACTTTATGTTGCAGAAATGGAATTGATACGACATGGAACGAAAGAAAGGAGGAAAAGAGGAGTCAGTGACCCGTCGTGGACTCTGCCCCATGATACTGGGGTATCCCCGCGAGTGCAGTGCGTATCGATTCCAGGCAAGGTACAAAGTCCAGGTTTCTTACCGAGATAGCGCTTTTATTTATGGCGGGTATCTCTTTACTTTCCCGAGGACCACAGATGCTTGACCTACTTTAACACCTATGGGAATTGACAAAGATATGTCTGCATCTGCTCAACATGGCGATAAAATATAAATAAAAGTAGGGAGAGGGAGAAAGGCCATGCCCTCATCTCACGCTCCTTGTCTTCCTTTTGGCCGCTAATGGGGGTGATTTTGCGTAGTAGCAGAGAACATGTCAGAGGCGAAATTCCAAGCACGCTTGCCAAAAAAAGGGAGCTGAAGGAGAAATTGCCTTCTCCTCCTTCAGCCATGTCACTTCCTCCTTCGTCCTAGTGGAGTGTGCGGGATTCGACACTCAGTTCCGTATCGACGAGAAAAGCTCACAGCGATAGGATCGTGGCTGAAGTGGTGATATAGGAAATGGAATTCTATTAAAACTCTCTTCTCTTTCACAAAAAAGGCACAAAGGGCCATATGCGGCAAGAATAGCATAACGGTATGGAATGCCAGATGGGGCATCCACATCCATGCCCCCCTGGAATCACGATTGCGTATCGCGAACGAATACATCTTAGGAATACGTAACAAAGAATTGCACTCCTTTCATGGGCAAGGAAAAACTGGCTGGAAACGAAAACTCGTCCTCACCGACGCGATTACGACACCACACCAGACCACAGACGCAACTCGTGAACACGGAATGAGTGAATGGAAAGGTAGGGAAAGCGGAGTTCTGACTTTCACTTCAGGCTGAGTGCATTCTGTTGCGTCCGCGCAGAACGACTAGCAGGAGGGAACAGAAAAATAAGAGGAGGAAAGCCATCCCAGCTGATGGGAAAGGAAATACAGGAGGGGAGGGAGAGTTCAAAACAAAATAACAGCTGACAACGTGAGCGTGGGCGACGGCAGAGTCCTTCTCGAACACGTTTTATGAACGCCGCTGGAGAGGTTAATAAGCGTCGCTCCAGAACCCGCATCGCGGGAGTCCGAGAACCGCACTGGACTCCATGGCCCACATAGCCCTCAAAATATAATGCTCCTCCCCCCCCTGTGAGTGACGTCAAAAGACCGGTTCTCGGTCAGAGGTATTGAGCATTCCCATCCGTAGCCCCAAGGAAGACATCCCCCCTCCGATGCGCATTTGGCATCCATCCAACTGTGCCACGAGACACGGAATGACGGAAGACGGGAGACAGAAGGGAGCAGAGAAATCCAAAAGGAATGCGAATGTATATCCTGAATTGAGCATGGCCGTGTCCTGGTCCAAGGTCCTTTACCCTATGATAGGACTTATCTCCCGTTTGCGTGAATGATGAATCGGGAAACGCCAAGGCCGCTCCCCCCGCAGAAAGTACTTTTATCTGTATGGGATTATCAGAGGTCAACTTAAACGCGTAGTAAGCACTCTCACGAAGGTCATCGAGACATTCCGCCTGCAATTGCTGTAATTGCACCCGGATAATGCTAGCACTTGTCCCTTTCAACGCCTCGATGCAAACGAAAATCTGCTTTCATGGACGTTGTCGAGACTTCGGCAGTCCCAACATTATGACTTCATCGCAGAATGCAAAATTTTATGCAAGAAAAGGTGATGTACTGAATATCTGAAGAGGAAAGCCTGATGCACGGCGGACACAGAAGCAGTTAGACGCTGAGCCGATTTCCAAACCGCTACAAACCCCAACAAGGAACAAAAATGGAATAGAAAGAGGGAAAGACCTCCATCCAGTCCCGTTCCATACGCGCCAACTTTTAAAACATATTTGGGGGGAGGGGCAAGTTTCTAACGTCCCTGAAATAACATTGACTGAATTATTCCAGGATCCATTGGAGTAGCTCAGTATTATAATGGTAACAGAGTGATGAGCGGGGGGGCGTAATATAGTTGAGGGGGGGGGGGGGGGCACGTGGCCCTTTGCCCCCCTGGGTTCGGCGCGTATGCCCCGTTCGCGGTAATGCTGAGCATTCTAGCGAACCTCCCTGGAGGTGAAAGCTTCACGCGGGAGCCACCAGATGTCCGCACCTTTCACTCGCCTTCTCATTGACATCATAATCGGGATCCTCGATTATGATTATGGTCACGTCGGTGGGTGTGAGGGGTCAATACCTTCTCACTTTTTTTTTTATAAATGTAATTTGCCAGTAGGCTTATAAAAAAAAAGCCACAAAAATACTGTAAATCACCTGGCTCCACATATTGTTTATATGTAAGTTTGCGTTTGGTGAACGACAAAAGAAAGTTTGTCCCCTCGATCGCAGGGGTCAAATTTGGAGAAATCTCACGGTTCTCTCACATCTAAGAAGAATCAGTCTCTCCAAAGACGAGTGCGAAAATGTCGAACCCACTTCAAAGGAATGGGCTGCCCCAGTAGCCTTTCTTCTCTCGCTCCATTCGATTCCATTCTCTATCGCGAGCAACGTTAAACGTGCGAGAACTGCGACTCGATCGAAATCGACGGAGCAGAAATAGAAGGATCTGCTCGCCTGCGCAGCTCTCGAGTATTCCGCTCTCAACACGAGGCGATTCTTGGAGCACCCTATAGTATGCTCAAGTCATTTAAGTGCACTGTATCCTCGTATTGAAAAGCAAGGCTGCTCGAAAAGGTGACCCTGAGCTTCCTCGAGTGTGAACGCGACTTCCACGCTTGTGATCCCCTGCGCTATGATGAATTGCATCGCATACCCGACGGCTGTAGAGGATCGGAAAGCTCTCCCCCGCTTTCTTTGATCGGATATGCCTCGGCGAGGGTTCCTCCCGGAAGTCGATGGATGTCGAGTGGGTTGGGTCCACTTCCCGAGGAACCGAATGCTTTTAAAATTGCTTGTGGAATGGGCTCGGTGGGGTGTCGTCAGAGGTCGCAGTTTTGTAGGGATGGGCAGAGCGAGACGCGCTCGGCATCGCGGGATTCGAGTGTGGAATGTCTCGTGAGATTTCACCCGTTTCAGGGCACACATTGACCCAAGGCCAAAGAATATCGCCGGTAAAAAGGGTCCTTCGGACGTCTGGCCTTGCCATAAACAAACCTCAATATCCTGTTTTTTCCTTGGCCTGTGTCAATCTACGTCAGTAGCTTCTCGGACCTCACCTTGTCCTTGCCGAGCAAAGGCAGCTGCCGAGTGGGAGAGGGGAATGTGAGCTGGTGTAGAGCTCTGCACAGCCCGCATCATTTCACATTGCGACGCATAAGCAGGACATTGTCCCTCGTCTCGGACTCTTTCGCCTTCGGGGATCATTCTTCTCTCAAATTACACGCATCGATGAGATTCAAATCCGGACACAGACTCTCCATGATCCCAGCATGGAGGCTTGGTAATAAGAGAAACTTGAACAAAAATTTGACCTGACCGACCTGACCCAGCCCGGGGAGTGGTGATTTCGGCCCTAAACTGCCCAGGGTCGTGTCGAGTCGGGTCGAGTCCGGTCGGACCGGCTCGCAGCCCGTGTAGGACTCTAAGCAGGTGTAGGGTGTCCCAATCCCACAAACCCCCTGCGTCTCTTCATGTCCTCATAAGGAATATGAGATTTTCTTCCCATGCCAGGTCTAAGTGAAAGCGGAAAGGAATGTTTTACCTTTTTTTGGATGTGTGGATGGATACATGTTTCAGGAAAAAAAATCTACGAAGAGGAGAGTGATGAAATTTGGCATAACGTAGGACTTGTATCTAAGCTACCGCTCAGCTATGCAAAGTTTTTTTGTTTTAAGTGTTCATCGATCTAGTAAATATGATGAGATCGGTTCTAAGAGGGATTTTCTGTTCCAAAAAACTACGGGAAGTCTGGCGACGAAATCAGCCGTAGACGCAGCTGCAGTACTGAACACAGGAAAAAGAGTTCGGTTTGAAGTAGGGCTGTCACGATAGGTCGATGCATCGATACCGCTATCGATAGTTGGAGATATCGATAGTTTTTTCGACCAACGCGATGCATCGGCAAAAGATTTCAAAGGGGAAATATCCCATTGGATTGAGGCGAGTACAGTTCCATACAGTCCGTC